ACCTAGTCACGGCGCCCTTTTTCAATTAAAATTTTTCTATGGCGCCCTACCCCAAGAGTGACTATTCATAAGTAAGAGATAAAAAAAATAAAACTCGTATATCTTCATTATTTTTTTATTTTATTAATATTAAATTAATATTTAATAATTAATGTGATGGATGAGTCTGCAAATCTATACACGTTTTCTCAAATTAAAGCTTTACAATATTTCGCCGCTCACAGTTTGGGAATCACTGGCCTAAGTTGAGTTTTCCCACAACCACATGACTAAACCCAAGGATTCCGTTGAATTTCACCTAGTCCTGCTCCCCAGAGGGCTTATGTATCCTGACTGGACTGCAGTTTAGGCATCACCTTGGTCCCCAACGGGACTCGAGACCAGATCCTGAGCATCCTGACGAGACATTACAACTCCTTTTTCACAGAAATCCATGGAGATTGCCTCAAAGATAGCCTCTACCAGAATGTTCCAGAATAGAGAATCGGCAATTGGCCAGAAATAGTCCGCTATTGGCTTCTGTTGGGATTCATCTTCAAGTCTCTTCATGCCTGCACACTTACGCTTTAGCAATTGTGAACCAAGCGAATCCTTCAAACTTAACTTTGCCTTGTATTTACAACTCCGCCATGCAGCCATGTGTGCCAGGGGCCAGAGGACGGATGTAACCTTCAGGTCAAGCCACATTTTTTTGTTGGATTTTCGTATAGGCCAACTTGCTTTTTCGTTTATAAGTAGCTTTTCGAACTAACCAATAGGTCAGATATATAAGACTTATTCATCTTATTTCGTTTAAGGTGGCTAGGGGCTGGTAGTTGAATTTCCTCACATTGGGTTTCATATAGCCTTGCTTCCCAAAAGGTATTTTTATTCAGGCTGAAGTGGAGTGCAGTTTTGATCTCGCGCAGGTCTCATCACCACCCTGAGCGAGGCCTGACCAGAGTTGTGGTTTCGACACGCAAACCATTGCGTCATACTGCCACAGGGCAGATGAGAATTATAAGTAAGGCCAGGCCTTTTCCCATATCACATTCTGTGGTTGAAATGTCGATAAGCTAAGTTATATTTGCTATAACAACCTACTAGATTGCTTATTTTTCGTTAGTTATATATATATATATGATATACAGATAGTCTCGAAAACCCAGTAACTAACGAAAAATAAGCAATCTAGTAGGTTGTTATAGCAAATATAACTTAGCTTATCGACATTTCAACCACAGAATATATATATATATATATATATATATATATAATTATTCCTGTTTTGTTAAGGTCAAAATTCACATCTATCCCGTGACCCAGGGGCACTTGTGGCAGTGTGGCTTAGTGGATACCATGTCGAGAATATACGCAGAATTAGCACAACCCTTGTTAGAATCCCACCGGGGACGGGGATCAGACTAGTTCAGGCGAGTTTGAAATAGCAGTTCATTCCTAGCTGGATTCAACTAACTTTTGGGAAGCAAGACCACGTGAAAGTAAATATAAAAGTAATATCAACTCATATGAATGTGAAAAGATTAAACTATCAGTCCTTCATCATTTTAACGGGAAAGGGTGAATACATCTAATATACTTGTTTTCGTCATTGCAACTAACTGCTGCTCATATTCATGACGAATATGCTTCGGTACTATAAATAGATCTTGAATAATATTTGAATAGTTCAACGCCTTATGTTGTTAAATTGGTTTGCCTCTAAATCCGCAACCTACCCCGTAGTTTCACCAACATATTCGGCATCGTCAGTGATCAGCGCCAGCCGTCGTCCAGAATCCTTAACCTGTCTGTCTGGTAGGGAGCCCAGCCAACGGTCTGAAGTTGGAAGACGGCAGGAAAATACTGGCAGAGAGTGCATTACGGGGGACCCGTCTCTCGACGCCTCATCGACAGCATGATTAGATTGGCAAAAGTGAACCTTAATCACTGGTTGAGATTACTTCTTTTTCAAGTAAAAGAGTCTGGTGAAGAGATTCGAATGTCGGTCTTAGCACAAAACGACCAGCTGTAGATTGGCCTTACTGAAACATTCTATTTGATGCCGTTTCCGAGGTAATCGTCTTTTGATTCCAGTGAAAGTGTGCTAAGCTTTCATCCGTCGTATGACGGAGATCATCACAGCATCCTCATCATCATTCTTACAATCACATTCAAGCTGACGAGTCAAAAAAACTCACTGGCTTATCCATAAAATGCTGTACATATACTCTATCTGAGCTCTTTGATGAGGTATATGTCAACCTCGAAGCATGTGAATGCGTCTGTTTGCTTATGTATATGTGTCTGCACGTGTCCGGCTTTTTACGAAACCAGCAGTGATGGTTCAGAGTAATGAGGACAGAAAAACTAAAATGAAATGACTCAACAAATTTCTTTTTTTCTTGTCTTGGTTCCAATCATGGTCACTATTGTGCACTTTTTAGTTCACGTTTTCATTCTCACATGAGAACAAAAGGCTCATCAACATAACCAGATATGTATCCGACTACTCAATTGGATTGATGGGTATAATATATAAATATGTATATGTATGAAACTATATGAAGGGGGTGATTGTGGTCATTAACTCTTGATGGCCGAGATCAGATGCTACTTCTTCTGTTCTAATTACTTTGAGCCATCATTGCTGGTTTCGTAGATATACGAAGAGATGGAGGCACATAAACACACGAACACAGATACACTCACATGCTTTGAGGATGAAATATGACTTTAACTATCCAAATCACTTTATGCCTTATCAAAGAGCCTGGACTTATGGTACATCTACAGCATTTATGGATGAGCCGATGAGTTTTCCTGACTCAACTTGAATATCCTCCCTGCTCTGATGTTGTCCGTCATACGGCGTACGAAAGCTTAGCACTTTTTCACCGGAATCGAAGGAGATTGCCTCGGAAACCGAATTAATAAGAATGTTCCAGTAAAGCTAATCGACAACTGGTCAAGAGGACTCCACCGTCGTCTTCTGGTGGGATCGACTTTCAAATATCTTCACTAAATACTTTTACTCGAAATGGAAGTAAGCTCAATAATTATGAAACAATAAATTCCTCAAAACCCACTTTTTCTTCGCATAGACTGAATCAATTCGGGAAGACTGCGACCAAACCAAGGACCAGGCGAACTTGGTCTTTGTGTTTTTCCATCATAATTTATGTCTGCAGGCATACATCGTAATTTTATTAGGAAAGGTGGGTGTAAATGGTTCATAAATTGACCTCGCCGGATACCGAAAAAGGGTTGCCTTTGACTTGTCATATGACGGATATTGTCAGAGCTGGGCACCGTAATTTACGGGCAATCAACTAAAACACATTAAAGCAAGAAACCCATCTTCCCTTCACATGCACTGTCGACTTGTGTATTTGTCCCCTTCAGGTATCAGTCAAAGGAGTCGGCGCACGCAGCGCCAACATCTCGTGGCAACAGCCCGTGGACGCAGATTGTACAGGTGAACTGATAGGCTACGAGGTGCTTGTCAACTCATCCCATTCCACTGGCCCCGTCTCCATCAAGTTGCCACGGACCAACACCAGCCACTTGCTTGAAGGTGAGTTGACCCTGTTTGTATGTGTGTGTGTGTGTGTGTGTGTGTGTGTGTGTGTGTGT